GGTATAGAGGTTATGGACGGTATAGAGGTTATGGAGGGTATAGAGTTATGGAGGGTATAGAGGTTGAGGGTATAGAGGTTATGGAGGGTATAGAGGTTATGGAGGGTATAGAGGTTATGGAGGGTATAGAGGTTATGGACAGTATAGAGGTTATGGAGGGTATAGAGTTATGGAGGGTATAGAGGTTATGGAGGCTATAGAGGTTATGGAGGCTACAGAGGCTATAAGGACCATAAAAAGGCCGAACATGCCAGAAGATCTTGGGACTTTGAGGGCTTTGGAAACTTTAACAGCGATGACGGACATCGTAAAGACGACGTTGTCTCTCTCGGCTATGGCTCACCGCGAAATCGTCTCGGCCACATAATCGGGGGTTGAAGCCAAAATCGATTTGGAAGTTTCATCTAAGTCTTCATCTACAAATTATTCTTAATTATAAATTAATTTATATCTTAATTATATCTGATATAAGATTAGAGATCACTTGATTGCTTAAATCCTAATTAAGAACTGACGATGGAGCTGGACTCCGAAACGTTTTCTAGCATACCTAATGGGAAATTTTTTGGCTGTTTTATTTGCTTTTAAATTTTATTAAATTAAATTATATATTAATCAATTTCAAATATAAGATGACGCTGAGTATTCATTTCGAAATCGTATGTTATTATCGAAAGTTACCGTTTGTGGCACATCTGCCGGCAAATGAACATTTTCTGTGAATGTTTACGAGTGAACTCTAGATGGGCTAGTTATCGTAACGAATAATTTAATTTAAAGTATTTTGTCGATTGATTGATTTTTATTCACAAAGGAGCTCTAGTTACAATTCAAAAGAGAAAAAGAAAAACATCTATAAAATAATAGAGACATCTAATTGAATGCCCATAAGCAGATAAGCTTCGCAGGCAACATAGGTGATTTAAAACTCTATTCCAATGATAAGTCAAAGAAGTTAAGAGCAACGGAAAGATACTAAATTAAACACATAGAAGGAAAAAAACCTCAAGAAAACTGATAACAGGATGTCACTAAAATTAAGCGTAACAAAGCAATATCAATATAACAGTGATTAAAGACGGGTAAAAACTTGACTTACGCGGATTGACTTACGTTCTGCTTGCCTTATTCAAATTTTTTATTTAATTTAGGTACGTATGTATTTTGAGTATATGAACGTCAATATTTATAAGTGATACTCTCAATCCGCGGATACATTCATTAACTGGCACTATAGAGAGAAACTCGACCTCGCACATGCTGAACCTATCCTCTTGTAATAGTGAATCGTTAGGCTTTTATGTTTCAGTATTTTTCTTAGGTATTAATCTTTTCGTGTCTCTTATGACTGTGTCCCGCAAGTGCTTGTTTTTCGACGTAAGGTTGTTTCGTGTTTTATTTATCTTCTTTAAGTTTTAATGTCTGACTTAGAATTTTTAATTATAAAATTATTGTATTAGTTTTTTTATATTATCGAACTGACGAGGAAGCTGGACTCAGAAACGTTTTCAATATCGATATTGTGAATTTTCTTGGTATTTTCTTTGCTTTTAAATTCCTTGTGAATTTGCGATTTAAGCAGACTGATAATGTAAGAAACTCAACTTAATTTATTGTTTTTGGATAATTTTAATAAACCACGTGACTAAAATAATTAACTATCGCTTTTATTATCCCTTCATGAACACATCAGTACAACTTCAGAAATCAGTCAAACTGCAAATAAAGCGATCTTTAGATCTCAGGAACATGAAGCTATGACAACTTTAATTTGATGTTATTGTCTAATCTCAAATTTTAGTTACCTTAAACTCAGAACGATGAGTTATGTACAAAACTTATGCGCGACCTCCCTTTTCAGTGTTTGAGAAAATGTTTAACTACAAAAATTGTTATGGAAAGGAAACGGCTTATGATAAATAATTTATTAATTCTAAACAGTGTTAATCGTTGGGACCATAAAAAATCTTGCAAAAATTGGATTGGCCCGAGCTGCTGCCCGGTGGACGTCCTCAGAAATTGGGAGCAAGAGCTTCTCAATAACAGCAATACACGAGCATGATCACGTAACATAAGAGACAAGCCTGCTTCACCTGGCCAGCGCAAGCTAGCCGGCCAGTTAGCACAGAGAAACTGACGCGCTAAGTTCCGTGCCATCCATCCTGTCAATATAAATGCAACTGATTCGAATGTAAAGCAACCGATTTGAATATTAGCAAATTAGAACACGCTGAATATTAGGGTCCAGAATATCGTCAAACACGTAAAGTTGCGGACCTAGCAGCTGGAATCTTAAATTGAGTAATAATGGTAAAAACAAGTTTATAATAAATTGGTATATAATGAATATATTTTCAGTTGGAAGACAAGGAGGGTTTTATTATTTGGTTAGAGAAGTGCAGGGGAGACAGTTATTCATAATGAAAACCGGGGGAACTACAAATTGCCAAAACACCCTGAGCTTTAGTGACGAACAACCAACCTGCAGCATCCGGTCAACTCCCCAGCTCACGCAGAGACCCGTCCTTCATGAGAAGACGAGCTGATGCCGAAACTCTAAGATCGTCTCGCACCTCAAGGCTGCCACCTCAGATGAGACGCACGCTGGAAGTCTCACTCTATAATGTAGATGTAGAGGACAAAAATTCTCCGCTACAAAATGTAGGCGACAAAAATGTAGCGTTGTTGTCAGTCGTCAGGAATCTGACTGGTGGGCGGTCTCTGAGTCGTACTAGAGACGCAGTTAGCTTCAATCTTCAAATAAAAATTTGAAGAAATGAGGAAGGTTGCCCGCACCATTGCAAAAAATGTTGGGAACCGTAGCCGGTCAAATAAAATCGTAATCAACTCAAACCCAAATAACAGTCTTCCAACTGAAATTATGGCCCGTATGCTATATAGGGCACTAGCACTACGAAGTAGCACTATGCACTATGAAGCGTCCTGTTGGTATGCTAAATACGTCACAGACATTAAGCACTTCGAAGTAGCTCTACAATGTTTAGTGTCGCTTAGTGTCGCACTACTGATTCGTATGCAGAAAGACTTTGAAGTGCTACTTCGCTGTTAGAGTACTTTATAGTGCCGCACTACGCTACGAGTCTATTGAAGAATGGTAGTTAAGTGATCAAATAATTAATTATTCCCTAAGTAATTCTCATTCTTTGCAGAAGATTGATGTAAAATGTCTAATTGTGATGGTATATAATGGCACTAGTGAAAATTGTGATGGTGAGCTGAAATTCGCAATGCGTCTGCGCACCTTTCCCATCATATATTCAAAGACATCGAACAAAAGAGAGAAGCATGGAAAGCTCTTGCAGAAGAATTCAAAATGACTACAGAAAAAAAAAACAAAAAAGGAAATTCAAAACATGGTATCAAAAACAAGAAAAGTATTTTCTACTTCTATGCTGTTCATCTGTTTCGCCAAGGAAAATGTCAGCCATAAGAATAACATGTTATTCACTGAAGCGGTACACCTTTTTATATTCATGGCATGTAGTTCCTGAGGTTTTTAAGCGATGATGCCTTTGCTGTAAGCCAAACAGATCCATAGCTGACGAAGTAAACGAGGTGAAATATACCGTAGTGTCGTCGTGAAGTGCGGTGTGTAGGACACTTCAGATTTTTGTAGTGCGCGTTATGCTTTTGGCCCTATTTAGCATGCCAACCGTAGTGTTCCATGCCGCACTATGGCTTGTAGTGCGTAGTGCTACTTCATAGTGCTAGTGCCTTATTTAGCATGCCAACCGTAGTGTTCCATGTCGCACTATATAGTAGGCACTACGGCTTGTAGTGCGTAGTGCTACTTCGTAGTGCTAGTGCCCTATTTAGCATACGGGCCTATCTTAGGAAAGATAAGAATTTTATAAAAGTTATCTTTGTTTTGTATGAAAAGGGTCTTCTTCATGGCCGTCTACATCAAATTCACACGCATCCTGCGAGTTTCCCAAATATTGCCTGAGGATCTAATTGCGGCAATTGTGAAACAATGACATTAAACGGTCAGGTGAACAGCAAAAGCCGGTTTCTTCATAAGATCCTTGAAATTTTTATCAGCGTTTTCTCTGTTATTGATATTTGTCAATGATTCTTTCAAATACAATCCATCCAATTCTTGAGGTTTTGTATTAATTTTCTTGAATCCTCAATTAGGTACCAGTCTCTTTATATCTAGTCTGATGTAAGTACCTTAATAAGGATTTGATAAAAGTCGTACAAAATTCCCAGTCTCAACCGTATCTGCGAAGCGAATACATTTAAGCTAAACGCAGGCCAGCTTCGGCGACTGCAAGTCATCTGGAGTCGGTTTGTCAGCGCCGCTACCGTTATTCGGCAGCCTATACTCATCTTGCTAATCAATACATATGGTACATATGTACCATATGTATATCCCCATATGTATATGTATATGTTTGTGTCTGGCAACAACGTACACAAAAATGTACTCAGATGGCTTAAATGTTAGTTATAATTTGAATGCTTGTTGTTTGTTATCAGATATCATGAAATGTTTTTAGTCTTTACATGGGCCCGTATTAGGTTGGCCTGGAACTAAGGCTTTTTTCATATTTGAATTTCAACTAATAATTCCAAGAAATGTTCAATAGCTCAAATAGTAGTATAGTATTTGATTTAATTTACTCTGAATAGAAAATCTAGAATCGTTCAAATCATTTAAACCAGCCTCGCTCCCTCACTGTACAGAGACAGTAACCTCCGTTCTAATTATCCTTTAGCATCCAATATTAAACGTATTGATGACATTTCGAAATATATTACATTAAATTCGCCTTGATGAAAACCATGCAGTTGTGATGGTCTGGCAATAAATAGTGTCGTATTCTTTTAAAGTGAAACTTTCATAAATGAGTCATCAGGAGTTTCAAAGTTTATTATAGTTTATTCTAAGCATGGCACTTCAAATTTTCTTGCCAGAGCACTGTATGAAAAATACATAGTTGTTGTAAGGGATTGCAATAGGACTCGAGAATGCTTATTTTCATCAACATTGTCATTCGTTATTTTGTTACTGAAACATTTTGCAGCACTCAGAATAAACTGGCCATTCAAAGACTTGATATAATATTCATTAAAAACATCGTGAAATCAATCTTCAATTCGTCATTGCATGAAACTAAGGAAGCTCAACCATGACCAACCAGTTTTACTCTTTTTACTAGGTGATGAGCTGACGAATAGTAGTAATAAGCAATAATAAAATAATGATAGCTTTTTAAAGTAATCACAATGCTGTAAATCAATATTACAAAAATGATGATATGATTGCGATAATTACAAGCATTTCTTTTCATAACTCACCTGTGACTTTTTAATTTAATTTAAGCTAATATAGATATTTAGAATCTTTAAGC